ATTATTCTTAAAATAAAAAAAAAAAAAAAAAAAAAAGTGAAGTATATGAAACATTTCTCTAAATATGCCATTGCATATCAAATAAAAACAGTGAGACAATATATTAAACTTTAATATTCTTTAAAATGCAAAAAATAATAATTGGTGTACATGAAGCTAACATTATAGTTTTTAAGTTTTATTCCACAAATATATGTAGAAACACATAAAATCAACGTTTGGTTTTATGAAGGTTTGTTTCCACTTTCCACCCAATTTTAGGTATTCACGTTAGGTCTTAACGTAAAGCATTTTCTAATAAAAGAGAATAAAACAAAAAATAGAATTTAAACAAAAAAATTCAAGTTTCCACTCAACTTGAAATTTTTTATTGATAATAAAGAATTACTTATCACCCTGTCACAAATCTTTTTGATAAACATTGAAGGTACTATAAATATCGAGTTAATACAAGAAGAAAAAAAAGAGAATGAAACAAAAAATAGAATTTAAAGGTAGACAAATTAATTTATTTCCAGTTTGTCAAGTTGGAGAGAGCTGTGGAGGGGTCAATTAATCAAGATAGGGCTAGGCCTAATACATTAATTTTATTTGAATATGACCTAATTTTATAGATGAATAATCTTTTACTCATATTCCACCTAATTTTAGAAGTTCAATGAATAATTACAGTTACGTTGGTGTATTTAACTGAATTTAACATCCAGGTGCTTAAAAAGAAAACAAATTAATTAAGAACTTCTTGAGAGATTATCATATAGGTAACTACTACTAGCTTCATTAAAATAAATTTTAAAGTGATCGAAAATAAACAGTAATCATAAATAAAATATAATGGAACATATTTTTTATTGATAAACATTTATGAGTATAGTTTTATTCATTTCTTGATTCTTCAAATAGAACATCAGGCGACGATTTTGACAAAGACAATATTTGATGTCTTAATCTCTTTATAAATATTCTAAAAATTTATAGAATTTCGAGATGTGTGTTCAAGAAAATATAACTTTTTTTATATAGGTGTAAGCTAGGGTCCACGGCAAAGTAAAATAAAATTAAGTTGTCTATATATCTTATTCAAATACAAAAGCTATTTAATATAAAGATTATTTATTTGGAATTACTCCGAGGATAAGGAATCGTTTGATTCTTGGAATAAGTCTAGATATCTCATAATTATATTTCGAATAATACTTTCTTCAAATAAAGTATAAATTTAATATCAATCTTAACCAAATTATGAAATAATTTAATCCGCAAATCAAACGTAATCGCAACTATGGGCGATATAACATAAGGAGATTGTATTAGTATACCTCGTTGGTTATGCTGATGATAGTTTTTATTCCCTTTCGGCTGATAATAACTAAAATAACAATTTTTGTCTCTTTTTAATTTCTTCTTTTAGTAGGGAAATTATATAATTAAGAAATATGTAGAATGTTTTTTATTTTAACTTTTCAAAATTAAATCAACAAGGAACAGCTAACTATATTAATATAGAAATAATCGAACATTTTATTTTACTAAGTCACTTTTCTCTAAGTAATACGTAGACTTAATTAATTTTGTAAAGTACACGAATTATATTACTCCAATTAGTTGAAAGTTTTCTCCTATTTTCAAATTCCAAAAACTATTTTAAAGTAAGAGTAGTTTTTTAAAATTATATTTATTTCAAATTTTATGGATGTTAGTGAGATTTGTCGCCTCTCTGTATTTACTCCTTTCATTTTATTTATAGGACGGTATTTGATTGAGCATAAAATTTAATTGAAAAAAAAAGAAGCTATTGATCGCATTGATTTGGGGTATTACTTAATTTAGTGTCAAACATTTTAATGTAGTATAGTCATGTGAAAACAATTGATATTTTCTATTAAAACTTATCATGAACAACTTGATATTGCACACAACTCAACTATTTCACGAGTATGTACTATCTTTCACCTATACATATATTACATCATCATAACTTTTTTTTCCTAAACTAGATATAGATAAATGAAAAGAAAACCATCTCTCCTCTTTTTTCCTCTGTCGAGATTTCAATCCAGATTTTTTAAAAGAAATTATCTCACTTTATAATATATATACACTAATTTAGTATATATGTTTTGTCCTTTTGTCTCGTGTCAATCGATAAAACAATTAGTTAATTCTTTTATCATATTTCTAGCACTTCAAGGACATTAATTTAAGGGTCATTTTTATTATACTTTACAATAGTCAAAAGCATTTTTTACCCTTTTTCCAATTTTCTTATATTCAAGGGATTCCACCAGCTTCACATTAGCTATTAATCACATTGATTTAAGGTTATAGTATTACATTAATTAGGTTAAACTCAAACATTGTACAGTTGTGGGAAAACAATCTAGTTATTTTCTCCATGATTAGATGTCATGAGCTGTGTAACAAAATTCCAGTCCATTTCTATTATGATTTGACTAATTGGTTCAACATTTAGTGCTTCATCCATTAATACTTCTAAAATATTTTAGATACACGGGACGAACAATTCTACGCTCTCCGTTTACTTTTACGTGTTCACAGTAAATTTTACGTACTCTTTAAAAAAAACATGTGGTTTGACTTGATTAAAAAAAAAGAAAAAAAAAAGACTTTCAAAATTTATAATTTAGTATACTTGTTGATTATTTGTGTAGCTATAAATCATTTTATCAAGAATAAAAGAAAAAATTATAGAGTCCTATTATTTCTAATTATATAAATGTCAACTCCTTTGGAAATAGACTAAAAAAGGAAAGTATGTCACTTAATATCTTACTATG